ACACTTAAGTTTGAATTGTACACTGTAAAAGGGTGAATATTATGGTATGTGAATTATGTCTCAGTTAAAAAAAACCTGGTTTACAAAGCCTTCTGTGATTGGGTCTGGCTCAGCGTCTCTCATTGGCTGCCCTTCCCTTGCCTGCCATGTTTCTCTTAGCTTTACCATGCTGCAGTTCCTTCTGCCTGCGAGCTATCCACACTCTCTCAAACCTACGTTTGCATTTCCTGTTTATTCTGTGCAGGAAGCATTCTCTTCTCCGCCTATCGCTCATCCTCTTCTCTCCACTTGACTGACTCCTCCTTGTCCTTTAAACCTTAGTTTGAGATACTTCCCCAGAAGGCTTGATTCCCCTCCACCCCAGGATTGGGTTAGGTGCTCCTGATGTGTGTTTCATTCATACTTAGCTCTTTTGTAGCATTCACCAACCATTTGTTCATTCTGTATTTATTGAGTGACTGCTCTGGGCTGGGCACTGGGCTAGATGCTGGGTGTTTCACAAATAAGCTATGTGGTCCCTGGCCCCATGGTGCTTAGAGTCTAAGAAGGGAAGAAAACGGACATTTGACAGTGAATTATTGTAAATATTTTAATTATAATTATGAAGTTTCGGAGCACCCTGGGGAGGGCGCGTTAAGGGACTTGACATAATTGTAGGTATCAGAGAAAGTATCATGTAAGCAACTTTAAGGAGCCAGGTGGCCAACTGAAGAGTGGCAGGTAGAGTGTTGCATGCAGAGGAACAGCAGGTAAGAAGGCTCTGATGCAAAGCTTTGGGGGCATTTCAGAAACTGAAAGGCCAACCTGGGAGACAAAGGAGAGCCCGGAAGAGCCAAATCTTACCTTCTGGACTAGGGTTTCTAAGTTCATCGTAAGAGAAGTAGGTTGTCTTTGAAGACTTTTAACATGGGAACTTTAGAAGTTCCCCTGGCTACTGTGTAAATAATGAAGCAGGATGACAAGTTAAGGGGCTCACAAACTTTCATGAATCTCCCACTAAACTGTAAGCTTCTAGAGGGCAGAAAAAGGTAGCACCGGGAATCCAAGCTGTTGCCACTTAATAGCTGTGACTCTGGGCAAGCTGTATATCCCTTAAGTCTCAGCTCCTTCATCTGTAAAACATCGATATTAATGGCTGTCTCAAAGGGTTGTGGTGAGGGTTAAGTGAGCTAACTTACATAAAGCACTGGCTATAATGATACTCAATAACTGGTAGCTGTTATTCTAAACCATCGAGTTTACTGTTAGCACTCCTCTCTTCAGAGATTCACTTAAGATGATTGCAAAATGAGAAGATTATTTTTTATATCCACAGTTTTCAGGACTTTGCCTGACAGATGCTCAGTACCATTTTAATGAATCGGATAAATAATAGGGCCAAGATTCCAACCTAGGCTTTCAAGAAAGGCTCAGCTCAAGTATCAATGCCCTATCTCCCTTACACACAACCCTTCAAAGACCATTTCTCCACTCCACCCTAGACTGGGCTGGATACTCCCCCTTTTACCTTCAGTGCATCTCTGGTGGATTGTATTTTCTAAATATGGCCACAATAATGTCTCACATCCCATGTGTACTTACAGTGTAATTTTGAGACTCTTCCCACTGAGAAGTGGGAGCTAACTAGCTCCTGGTGCCACTAGCTTTTTCTGGATTCCTGGTGCTACCAGTTCCTCCCCTTGGAATTGAGTCTAGGTCATATGATTCAGCTTCCTCTTGGTTCTCTTGAGATGCTGTTCTTAGAACCCAGCGACCATGCTGTGAGGAAGCCCAAACTGCCCTGTGTGGAGGCCCACATGGAGAAGAAATGAAGTGATGAAAAGAGGATCCCAGTATTTCATACCTTTGGAGTAGAAGTGAGCTGTCCCTGCTGAACCCTACCCATATTGCAGATTCATTGGCAAAATGCGCAGTGATAGGTAACTAGAATAGCATCCCATGTTTGACATGCAGGGAGGCAATATGTTAGTTGGATGGGCCATGACTACCTTGGTACTTACTAGTTGTATCACTTTTGGCAAGTTACTTAACCTCTCTCTGCTTTAGTGTCATTTTTCAGTATAAATAAAAATAGCCTTAAGTTTGTTGGGAGGATTAATGTTGGTAAATGCAGCTCTATAGGTAATACAGATTAGTCATGTGAGCATTTCCTCAGACATGCCTCTGACCATTCAACCATTACTCTCATATGATTCTGTTTGTCTTTATAGTACTTTCACTATATTAATAATATGCTTCTATACATGTATGTGTATGTACAGGGTGAGCATTCCTAATCAGAAACCCAAAATGCTCCTAAATCTAAAACTTTTGGATGCCTACATGACACCACAAGTAGAAAACTCTATACATAAGTACTTAACACAAACTTTGTTTCATGCACACAATTTTTTTTTTTTTTAATGGAGTCTCACTCTGTTGCCCAGGCTGGAGTGCAGTGGGGTGATCTTGGCTCACTACAGCCTCTACCTCCTGGGTTGAACCAGTTCTGCCTCAGCATCCCGAGTAGCTGAGATTACAGGCACCTGTCACACACCTGCTAATTTTTGTATTTTTAGTAGAGACAGGGTTTCACCATGTTGGCCAGGCCTATCTTGGCCTCATGTGATCCTTCCGCCTCCCAAAGTGCTGGGATTACAGGCATGAGCTACCATACCCAACCCAGGTACACAATTATTTAAAATATTGGCCAGGCATGGTGGCTCACACTTACAGTCCCAACACTTTGGGAAGCCTAGGCAGGAGGATTGCTTAAGGGCAGGAGTTTGAGGCCGACTTGGGCAACAGAAGACCCTGTTTCTACAAAAAATAAAAAATTAGCCAGGCATAGTGGTGCTACTCTGGGGCAGAAAGTTGCCTCAGCTCAGGAGTTTGAGGTTACAGTGAGTTGTGATCACACCACTGCACTCAAGCTTTTACCACTTTGATGGATTTGCTTCACTTACTCATTTACCAGCTTTTGGGGTTTTTCTTTGCACCACTTCTGGTGTGCCTAGAATACTTAGTATTTGGGCTCCATATCTATTTGATTTTGAATCCTTAATCTTTGGCTTCCAAGATAAAGATCATTCAGGTTGCAAATTCTGTGTGCTTTCTTACAGCAAAACCATGTGCTCTTACTGATCCATCATCAAGTGGCTGTTCTCCCAACAGCAGGACATCCATGTGGACTCCCTAAACTTAGCTGTGGGGCTGGATGCATTAACCACATGATTGGATGTTACAGTATCAATACCAAATGATGGATCCCCTTACTCAGCTCCAAGTTACATACAGCCAGATCAACATTTGGTACAGTAGTAAAACACTTGAGACCAGTCATAAATTTAGCCCCAAAGGTTAAAGCTTTAGGAATTTCTGCCATGGGTTGCCATGGTTCTGCCAAAGGTTGAGGCAGACCATTGAGACAGGTGCCAGAATATTGGGACCACATTGTATTGTCACTTTTGATATTTTACTTTTGAGGCTCTTTAAATGATTGTTGTGTATGCGTGTGTGTCCATACTACTTCAGGAGTAGGAGTAGGGGGTTGGGCTATTTGGAGAAGCTGATGGAAATTAGAGCACTGTTTTCCCAAAATAATACATATCAACACACACACACACACACACACACACACACACACACACACATAGAGTATTCAGAAACAGTTTAGGATGGCCAGGTTAATAATCCACCTGTGACTTGCCATGAGGGTAGCAACTTTTTCTATACCGTAATTTAGTTCTTTATCATGTACTATTCTCATTTATCTTTTCGTGTGTGCGTGCTTTATCCCAGTGAGCAGGCATGCTTCCTACAAGGAACATATGCCTCTTTATGACCTCCAGTGATGTGTGCATGTAGGGACCTCACCTGGGGAAATCTTGCCAGTTGAGTCCTTTGAAGCTGCTGTGTTTCACTGAGGACAGGCAGCCTTCCCTTCAGCATTCCGTCCTCCACCCACCACCCTCCAACACAAAGCAGATTACCACAAGAGGACTTGGACCCTGCGTTCATGTTCTGTTTGCTTTCTAGGTTTTAGGCTAAAGCATTATTTACATACTCCTCATGCAAATATCCACTTGACTATTTAGAGAACAAAGCAGTGCCTACTGGAAAGTTTCGCGGTTTTTTTTTTTTAAAGTATTAATAAATGAATGCATTCTATTATTTAAATATTTGTGATGTCTTTATTCCTTTATCACCTCCATACTTCACCCCATGAACTCCCATACCCGTAATCAGGACCCCCTTTTTGTTCTATCCCATAAATTCTCTAACTGCACTCCTTTCCTGGCATGTGCTTGTGCCAAAAAAAAAGCAGGCATAAGCCTGATGTTAACAGAACGGCAGCCATGTGGTTTTTCCTTTTTTTTTTTTTTTTCTGGTCCTTCCTTCCCTCTTACAAATCTCCAGGGGCTACCTTTCAATCCTAACTTTGGAAGGGTTTTCCCATCTCCAGGCTGGTCTCCTTGACTGGCTAGGTAATTACAGCCACCTGGTGGCCATATGGGGAAACAACAGATGGATTGCCCCCAAAATACCTGGTGAGACCCTGTTTTTTTGAGTTTTGCTCTTGTTGCCCAAGCTGGAGTGCAATGGCGCTATCTCGGCTCACTGCAGCCTGCACCTCCCGGGTTCAAGTGATTCTCCTGCCTCAGCCTCCCAAGTAGCTGGGATTACAGGCACACAACACCATGCACAGCTAATTTTTTGCATTTTTAGTAGAAAAGGGGCTTCACCACGTTGGCCAGGCTGGTCCCAAACTCCTGACCTCAGGTGATCTGCCCGCCTCAGCCTCCCAAAGTGCTGGGATTGTAGGCATGAGCCACTATGCTCGGCCAGAGACCCTCTATGGAATAATTTTTGGTTTTGGATATAGGGGAAGCCAGGAAAGAAAATCCTGTGGTAGAGACTATAGCACAGGAACCAGACATCCTATTTCTTGGTCCTTCCTTGCCTAGTAGGGCACAACATCTCCCCCACTAGTTGTAGACGGATGAGTTTACTTAATATTTGAGTTAATTCAAAATTTATTGAGCAGCAACTGTGTGCTCAGCAGTGAGAATATAGCACTGAGCAAGATGTGAGCAAGATCTCTGCCCTCATGAGCTTACAATCTAGCAGTGCAGCCAGCCAATTACATCCATAATTTTACAAATGTCATAAAGACTCTGGAAAATGCATGGTGCTAACCGATTTAACAGAAAGTCTTGACCTACCAAGAAATCAGAAAAGACCTCCCGGAGGAAGGAACATTTAGGATCAGCTAGGTGGAAGGTGAAAGGAAGAGTGCTGCAAGCAGAGAGGACACTGCGTGAGGGCTCTGAGGCAAGACGTTTAATGAACTGAAAGCCAGTGTGTCTGGGCCACAGAGGACAAAGAGGGGTATTATGAGATGAGCCTGAATTATACAAGGCCTTTGAATTTGGGACTTTATTCCAAAAGCAGGTGGAAGCCACTGAAGAAGCTAAGGCAAGTTAGATGTTTAGGCTCGTTTTTCATAGCTGACTCTCATCGCAACATGGAAGGCAGAAGTGGACACGGGAAAACAGGTTAGGAAGTTTCCACAGCAGTCTGGACAAGAGGTGATGGTAATTTGGAGAAAGATGGGTTCCAGAGATATCAGAAGACAGAATATACTTAATGAGTGACTGGATGTGTGAGGAAAGGGATGTGTTTCTGGCAAGAGGTACTGAAGTAGGAGTCTTTGGAAGAGGTTCAGGTTTTGGCAGAATGTGGACACCCCATAGGCACAGGACAGGCCCTGAGGCTTGCACTAGAGGAACAGCATAGTTCCATTCTCAAATAGTTCAGGGTTTAATTGAGCAAACAAGGTACACGTAATTGCAGAGCTGATTAAAGATCAAAATGATCGATTTAGATAATTGACGGACTCCTGCATTCCATGGGGTTAGAGTTAAGCCCTCCATGTCACAGTAAATTTAGATACTGCTGAAGCCAACAGCAATGTTTCCACCTTTGTTCATGCCTCTCATAACCCCTCAGAGAACACCTAGACAGCTCACCCAGTATCTTACAGGGGCCACCTTCTCCTGTGCTAGGCCGTGGTGCCCCCTGGCAGGAAGACACACTAAATTCTTCTTGATTTTTTTTTTTTGCTTGCTGCTGCCAGGAAGTTCACCTGCTATTCTCAAATCTCCTCCCCTCCTTAAGTTGAAGGAGACCAAATCTAGCCATTTACCCCCATAGTGGTTCTTTTTTGGTCACTAAGAGTTTCCTGACTTAGCGTCTCTCTTTACATTACCCCTGCCAAGGTCCCTCTTCGAGAGTCACTACCTTGCAACCCTGTCTTCCTTATCTTCTCCAAGTGGCAAACTGCCTCCTTTTTCTCCCTCTCCGCTAATTTGCCGGCCTTTTCCCCACTGTATTTTTCCCTCGGTTTGGTAAATACCCACCTCTTTGCCCCAGAAAAGTCAGAAGAGAAGTTTGGGGTATGAGATGAACAAGGAAGTAGCCCCAATCGTTATTGCTTAGCTGATACAGCCTTCCTTGCCTCCTCTTTGCCACAGGAAAACTCTGCAAACCCCCTTCCAGAGACATTAACTGCTGACTATTCAATAGGCTCACGGTTTTCCTGTTGTGCAAGGAGCCTAGGACAAAGCCACACCCCAAATCCTTGCTCTGAGAGCAGTGGTTACAAATATGAACATGAGATTAGACATTCAGATGGTCCCTTTCTATCAAAGAATATAGACTTTGGAGTTGGACAGACTTGAATTTGCATCCTGGCTCTAGTAGTTTCTAACTAGTGTGCCTTTGAGCTATTAAACTTTTCTAAGTTTCAAAAGACTTATCTGTAAAATAGTAATGGTATCCACCTTCTGGGGTCGTTTTCTTGAAGAGGCTATTTGGGAGCTGAGGCAGGAGGATCACTTGAGGCCAGGAGTTTGAGACCAGCCTGGGCAACAGAGTGAGACCCTGTGTCTATAAAAAAAAAAACAAAAACAAAAAAAGCAGCTAGGCATTGTGGCAGGTACCTGTAGTCCCAGCTACTCAAGGCAGAGGTGGGAGGATCACTTGTGCCCAGGAGTTCGAGGCTGAAGTAAGCCATGATTCTGCCACTGTACTCCAGCCTCGGTGACAGAGCAAGACCCCTTCTCTTTGAGGGGGAAAAAAAAGTGTGTGTGTGTGTGTGTGTGTGAAGTACCTAGCATAATATCTAGCCTGAATTGCCTGATAATGATTCACTTCCTTTCTTTCCCTTGGGTTTCAGCTGCCAAATACTCTTCTACAAGTAAGATAAGCCAGCTTTGTATGGTCAATGATAAACATTTCCCGTTCCTGTTTTTATAAATCCCATCTTCCTGCACACATCTCATTTCCATCATTGCCAAAAAAGTTCTTCCATCTCTCACCTTTGTAGAACTACTCTCAACTATCAAACAGTTCTGCCTGAACTCTATCATTTTCTACATCTCCCTAAACCAAGACACTTGATCTTCTTCTATCATTCCCAAAGATTAATTCACTTCTAGCATTCTCCCTAATTTTCTCAGAGCAAATTGTAATGAAGGCAGGGAATAGGGCCTTTACACTTCAGAAGGGCACAGGCTAGTTCCTAGAGAGGAACGGATATCTAGGTCCAGGCAGCCCTCGGCCCCACCGCTTTTCCTCAAGGCACAGAAAAAGCCAAACTCAAAATATGTCTTGAGTCTACATGAGTGTACATCTCCTTTCCTACAGCTCTGTGAGATCATCATTGAAGTACAGAAGTATTGCAGGTATGTGAAGTGTACTGTCCATACTGAGATAGTCAAATTCTTCTTCCTCATCCCGGATCCCATTCTCTTCCAGGGTAAAATCCATGTTCAGGTTCTTCCCTTCATATTTCCACGTGTAGCTGGCAGCATGTGCATTATAGGGGAGATAGCGGTGTAGGATTTCCCATATTGACTCCAGAACCCCCACCTGGAGAACATAGAAGCACCCACTCCCAGAATTCTGGACGGAGTATATGCATACACACACCAGGATCAGAGCGCCTCCCTTGGCAGAGAACAGCTTCAGGCACTCTACAGCCCCAGAAAAAGAAAAAAGCCGAAACTCCAGCATGCAATGAACAAGACCCTACAGATCTGAATGGCAGCCAATTCTAACTAACCCATGGCCATAAAGGGTCAACTGTCCCCTCACTATATCCATGCAATAGATTAATAAGAAAGTTGAAATGCTGTCCAACAGCATGTAAGAGCTTCGAAGGACCACCATCACTAAGATGCATGAACTGCTGTCCCGGGCTTATAAAGGAGTCTCTTGTCCCCTTGTGACCCAGATACTCCTAGAATTCCCAACCCTGGGGACCTAAGTGCTGTGCTTTCCTCAGTAGCCTCAATGTAAAGGACAGAAAATACAGCTCCCGCCGGTTATGGAAAAACTGACAGCCTGAAGATCGGCCTGAAGATTTGCTGGGATTCCTGTTCCCTCTAACCTGCGCCCCACCCCCGCCACCAGTTCTCACCTCCAGTGTGTGCTCCTGCGACGTGAGCGTGTTAATGATGCGGATGCTCCGGCTCTTGGCAGACAGCCGCCCCACCTCATAATACGACCTCTGCCACCAGGGCTTCCCAAAATCGTTGGCCCAGTCCGAACAGGGCAGCTGAGGCGGAACGTGCACAAAGCGGCCCCGCGGGGTGCAATACCTCAGGCAGCCGGTCAGCGGATCTACGTGCTTGCGGATCTTTAAAGGAGGGTTTGGGGCAAGGGGGTTGAAGCCAGATCCTATTTAAGGATCTAGCTAGCCTCCGCTTTTCCTCCCCATCCCCGCTCTCCATTGCCTCTACTCACAACCCCAGATTCCAGCAGAACTCACGTCTCTGGTCTTTGGATCAAACCAGTGACTGATGTCCTGGCCCGCAACTTCCACGATGGGTTTCAGCAGCAAGTTCCCTGGGAAAGAGCAGCCACTGTCAATGCCAGCCCTTCAAGAACCAGGCAAGCAAACACACACACACACACACACACACACACACACACACACACACACACTCCGGCCCCGGCCCAACGTGTGGCCCTTACCCTTATATTCCTCTGCCAATGGCGTTAGGTCGTACACGCGTCCCAGGTAAGACACCCAGAGGTCTTCGGGCCTGTTATGTTGGGCCACCTCCGCCGGCGTGAAATAGCGACGCTGAAAATGCTCTAAATCTGGCCCAGCCACCAGACCCCGGCGCGGCATGGCTCTTGCTCTGTCGGTCACTGGCTCCCTTGGTTACTCCTTTGCTCCTCAGCACGCACGCACTACTGCGACCTCCGTCGCGTCCGGGAGCCACGGGGAGCGCGTTTATCCGCTGACATGGAAACCATTGTCCTTTCCCGGCCACCGTCCACGAAGATTAAACACCGGGGCGGAGCTGGGACTGCAAGCGTTCACGGGAAACGTAGTGTGAGTCCCGCATCGGGCATAGAAAGATTAATTGAGTTGCGCCGCTTTCAGGAACTGGAGCCGGCGGGGGTGCGAGGGGAAGGCGCGGAAAACGAATATGCTCCGTTTTAATTCAGTGGCCTGGGTTACGTGGGATATTTAGTACAGACTATCTCCCTGAGACACAAAAGTAAGGGAGGAAGCAGTATGAAAGAATGTTTTCTCGCCAAATTCCAGAGTTTCTAAAGGGTAAGAAACTGAGGTAAAGGTCTCGCGATATCTGAAGACATCCGGCGTAGTACGTTTCAGTGAGCCGCAGCCCTAGGGAGGTAGCAGAAGCTCGCGAGATCTCTGCAGTTGCCGAGGAGACTAGGAGTGGGAGAAAAGGTGATCTCGCGAAAGGAAAGGGAGCGGGAGCACTCGCGAGATCTCGGATCACTCAACCTGAAAGGTGCTTAGGAAGCTGAAAAGCCCAGAGGAGGCCTCCGGGCAAATGGCTGGAGCTGGACCGACCATGCTGCTACGAGAAGAGAATGGCTGTTGCAGTCGGCGTCAAAGCAGCTCCAGCGCCGGGGTTAGCACGGGCTCTGATTCTGGGACTGAGGGGCAGTCGAGCAGCAAGATGGAGGGTGTGGGGAACTGCAGCTCCCGGCAGCCTCTGGGCTTCGTGTGAGTGCCCTGCGGGCTGCCGGGAGCTGTGGTTCCTCGGGCGGGCAGCCAGGGTTGTGCGGTCTGAGCGCTTGTCTGCCCCTCGCAGGATTCGGACGGAGAGCGCGAAGACTCGGCGGCTGCGCGCGCCCGGCAGCAGCTGGAGGCGCTGCTCAACAAGACTATGCGCATTCGCATGACAGATGGACGGACGCTGGTTGGCTGCTTCCTCTGCACTGACCGCGACTGCAATGTCATCCTGGGCTCGGCGCAGGAGTTCCTCAAGCCGTCGGGTCAGTGCCGGGGGAATGCACACCCTCTTGGGAATGTGGCGGACCCTTACGCAAGGCATTTCCCCTGCGGGGCCTGGCTGCACCCCTTGTTTTCTGGGACCCGTTTTCGTGGCTCAGAGGGGCAGGACTGATTCTGGCCCGCTTCCCTGATGCTCTGATCCTTCTTTCCAGATTCCTTCTCTGCCGGGGAGCCCCGTGTGCTGGGCCTGGCCATGGTACCCGGACACCACATTGTTTCCATTGAGGTGCAGAGGGAGAGCCTGACCGGGCCTCCGTATCTCTGACCACGATCGCATTACACCTTTCAGACTGCATTAAACTTACGACCGAATGGGCCCGTGTCTGTGTGTACCTGGGATGGCAGGGCAGGGATAGCACACCTCACCCCTAGAGGAAAGGCTTCATCCGAAGTCGGGAGCACTCTTAACCCTCCTCTCCCAACCGGGTTGTCCAGCGGTGCCAAAGGTTTTCTCAGGTTCAGAGGTAGAGATGGGGGACAGGGCTGAAGGACAGACCAACAGGCCCCAGGGTGGGCCCCTGCATCTTCCCTCCCACGCTGCTGCTCCAGAATTGCGGCGGGAGGGGGTGTCATCCTGCTCCGGAAGACCCATTGTTTCCCGCCCCGGCCTGGCAACACCGAGTTCCTCTAAGCTGGGGTCAGAGAACGGGCTCAGGTCCCCAAGGGGAGCAGGGCAGGCGGCTGAGGCTGGGCCCCCTCCTCTCTATTGATGGGGAGGTGCCTGGGGTCAGGGACAAATCTCCGAGGTCTGGCCAGGAAGAACGGACAAAAGCGATAAGGCCAGGGGTCTGAAGGATGCAGCTCTCTGCGCATTTGCAGCCCTGGCACGTTTCCTGTTCCTCGGCACGGGGCAGGGATGATTGTACTTGTGCCACTCTTCTGTTCGCAGAGCACGTTCGTTAAATCTTTATTGACGTGTGGACACTCCTTCCCCTCCGGCCCCGCCCCCCAGCCCCAGAAATACCGGAGGAGCTGCTCCATAAAAGGAGGGCATGAGATTGTGGTCCCATTCACGACAGGGCTGAGGGGGAGGTGTGCAGGGTCCAGCCCAGAAGTTGAGGATTTAGATGTGGGTAATGGAAGGAAAGGGGGTTTTCCGGGATGTAGGGGCTTTCATCAGCATTGGCTCCACTGATGCTGCTGTTCCCAAAGGGATGTTAGGACTCCGATCGGCGAGGGGGGGTGGGGCGCAGGGCAGGTCGGAAGATGCGGGGCTTCCAGTCCTTAGGCCGAATAAGAGGGAAGGCAGCCGTCAGGGTTCTTCTTGACTCGGGGATAATTAGACCCAGACCTTTCCTGATGTGGGAAGGGCCTGGGACCCTGGTGAGGCCCGGGTTTGCCTCGGCTGCGAGGCGCGCCGACGCCGATAAAGGGCTCGGCTGTAGGGCACGAGGCAATCGGCTAGGCGGAGGCGCAGGCAGAGGCGGCGGTAGCTGGCCAGAGCAAGCACGAGCAGCGGCACGAGAAGCAGGAATCCGGTGACCAGAAGGGCCGTGAAACCGGGGTCCCGCAGGTGCGCGGTGCAAGGGGGTGCCTGGGAGCGCAGGAACTGTGGGAGAAGAGGAGTCAGGCCCAAGCCGACTGGGCCATAACTGTGCACGGGGTAGAAACAGCCCAAGCGGGTTCAAGTTGTGGCCCATAAACCCCACCGCCAGCATCACCACACACCAACACCCAACACTCACACCCCGGGGCGCACGCTCACCTGAGAGTGGCAGAGGAAGCCGAAGCCCAGCATGGTGACAGCGGGTAGCAAGATGGTCCCTAGCACCAGCGCCAGCAGGAGAAGATTGAAGGCAGCCACCAGCAGATTCTGGGCTGTTACGAGCACAGCGCAGGCCCAGCAGTCCAGGGGGTCCCGGGGCTCTGGGCCGCCGGGAACCGCTCGTGGTGCCCCGGGGACATCCGCCATGGCCTGCCTGTATCCCGCCCTCCTGGGCCGCTGCCTTATAGTCCTCTTTCCTGCCCCTCCCCCGGCCCAGCCTCTCCCCACCCCCCTTATCCTGGAATGCGGCTGTAGGATTAGGCACCCCCCATCCTGAGGAGCGGACCAGAGCCCTGGACATTCCACAGGCACCTCCGGGGAGGGGCTCGCCCTTGCCAGGGTCTGCGCAGCCCTCGCCATCAATCACGGTCTTGCAGCCCTCCCGGTACTCTCCCTGCTATCAACCAGCACGTTAGCAAAACAGGATTTTTTTCTGCTTTTATTTTTAATATTAATATTCTCACACAAAAATCACCGAAAATAGGGGTAGGGTTGGGAAGACCCCTCTGCCCCTAGGGCAGAGAGACAGTGCAGTGCGAGGGTGTGGGACTGTAAACCCCCCATCCCTCCGCAGCCCCAGCGTGGACAAAAAACCACCAACAAAACGAAAATAAAGCCCCAGAGAAACTCACCCCGGGGTGTCCCTGCCCCAGTGAGGCCCTGGCCCTGGGTTGTTTCACACGTAAAAACAAAAGGGGGTGGGGGTGAAGGTCTGTGTTTTTAAAGTTGGCCGGGACTGGGAAGGACGGGGTTCCTTTTCCTCATAGTTCTTTCTTTAAAACCTTTAAATTTTTTTATTTTATTTTCTTTATTTTTTTTTACAAAATACCATTTCAGTTCCCACTTCTTCCCCTACAGTACAGGAGTCGCTCACCCTCAGGCGGGGTTGGGGTCGGGTCAGAGGTGGGGGGACTGGTCCAAGAAAGTGCAGGACACAGGGGAGGCGAGCGGGTTTGAGCACCATGAGAACCCGGCTGGAGCCGCGGGCGGACGGGTGGAGACGGTCGGGCCGGGCCCGGACACATACTGGGGCGCAGGGAGAGCCCGGCGGTGGGCGGTCCCCGCAGGGGCGGGCAGGATGGCTTGGGGGTGTGGGAGGTCGGGTTTTCCCAAAAATGAATAAATAGAGGTGAGTGGGACTGTTATAAATTAAAAACAAAAAAACAAAAAAAGAACAAAAATTACAAATCATAAACCAAGTGAATAAAGAGACATGTACAGGGGTCACAGCTAGCATTGGAAGTAAAAAAAAGGAGGTTCTGGGGGAGGGGTAAAGCCCATAGAAAGAATCTCATTAAAAACCTCGGCTGCCGTAACGTCTATGTACATACACGAGCCGCGTGCATCTGCGCCGGGCGGGCGGGCGGCTGGCAGGGTGAGGGAACCCGTATGTGACCCCCGCCGCCGCCGGAGCCTGGTCCTTGTGTCTGTTGCTAAAAAGGCCAAAGTCGGTGAGGGGAGGGGCTGGTGGGCGAGGGGCTGCCAGCCCCCTCCCCCGTCTCCCATTTTTTTTCCTTTTTTCCTCATATTTGCTTAAAAAAAAAAAAAATGTTTTTCTTAATAAATTAAGTGAGGGGAGCTGCCAATGGGGTGGAAGGGCTGGGCCCGACCCCCTTCCCGGCCAGAGGCGGGACCCAGGTCCAGCCCAGGCGTGTGCTGGTGGCCCCGCGGCGCCCTGCAAGGGCCTGCAGGCGGGCGGGGCGTCCGGCCTCATCGCGACGTGCTGGCGGGGGCCTGTGGGGACAAAGCCGGCAGTGGCTCAGTGGCAGGCGCAGCCAGGCCCCTGAAGCCCGTCCCTGCAGCCTGCCCCAGTGCCCTCCTCCGCGGACCGCGCACCCGCGGGGCCCTCACCAGCGTGAAGGCGTCGTAGGCCTGCGCCAGCTCCTCCGTGCGGTACTGCTCCAGCACCACCACGCCCTGCAGGCCCGCGCTGCGGCGCCGGGCACAGCCCTCGCAGTGTACCAGGTACGTGTTGCGGCTGCCGTTCTCACTTGTCACGAACAGGATGTTGAACACCTCCACCTGGGGCAGGGAGGAGGGGGCCGTCAGGAGGAGGAAGGGCCACTGTGGACACACTCAGGGGGCGCAGGAGAGCCGGCCCACTCACGTCGCACTCGTTGCAGTAGTAGGCTGGTTCGTCCTTGACCCGACCCTGGTAAGCGATTTTCTTCCCTGCCCGCACCAGGCTCTCACGTTGGACCTGACAGTGCTTCATGGACTGAAGCAGGCAGAATCTGGGGAACAGTGGGGTTGTGTTGAGGCCACCGGCAAGGAGGGCTGGGGTAGGGCTGGAGCAGGGGCAGAGGGGCAGCTCCAGGGCCCTCCCCACTTCATGTCCGGGTCCCCTCCTCTGTCCTGGGCATCTGTCATAGATGAGGTTTCCTGTGGCTTTTGTCTATTTGGACCACTAGGAAAGGTCAAGACCAGGGACCTAGGTAGCTTTCCCAGCACAGTAACGCTTGAGGCACAGGCAGACACGGATGGAGAGAGGTGAAGAATGGGGCGCAGTCAGACAGGAAGAACTAGAACAGGGATTGGGTAGGTGGAGATGGGCTCCCACTCAAATAGGGTCCTCACTTGATCATCTTGAACAAGTCAGGGTCGCTGATTTTGACTGTGCGAGCCACGTTCCATGACACGTGGATCATGGGCACGATGGATTTGACGTTCTTCACCTCGTTCCACTCATATCGTTCCAGGGCCAGCTGGTACTGATAGGCTGCGGGCCAGAGGCGATCACAATAGGGCTCTCACACAGCCCCCAGATACCTGGGCCCAAGCCCTTTCCCTCCCTGCTGGCGGCTCTCCAAGCCCCTCCTCCCAGCCCCTTGCGACTGAGGCCCCATACCCCGCCAACACCTGCCCCACCCTCTCACCGGTGAGGGGCCCCACGTTCCAGGCAATGTTGTTGCACCAGCCGGTGGCCTGCACCCAGTGCACAGTCCCCGCATTAATCCACACGAGGTCTCCAGGGCGCTGCACAAAGCGGTACACAGGAATATTGGATGCATAGAGATCATCCAGGATTGGCCACCAGGAACCCGTCAAGTAGTCCACGCCGTGCCTGCGAGGTGGCCACAAAGTCAGGTGGGAACTGGGGACCGAGGGCGGGGACGCGGTAGACTGACTCGCGTGGGACAGCACGCACCGGTCACAGAAGGCGCTGATGGTCTCCCAGTAGTGCTCGTGCACCGCGAACCACTCGCAGTCACCTGGGCCAATGTTGATGTTGACGGAGCAGAAGTTGTTATTCTCTTGGTGTCCTGCAGGGGTCGACAGAGAACGGCATGGCTGGCCCGGTCAGAGCTGCGATCCCCGCCAGCCCCGCCCTCTGCCCTCATTGGCTGACGGCTGAGCGGCCGCCGCCAACCCCTCCTCTTGCGCTTCCCGAAACCACGCGCCCAGGCGTGGAGCGCACCTGGCGTTCGGCTGCCGGGCACCTTCATATACAGCTGCACCGTGTTCATGCCCAGGATGGTGTGGCCCACGTGGCTCAGCATGTTGCCCGTGGATGTTACCCGCATGAAGGCGGGCAGCTTCAGCAACT